TGATGTTAATGAGGGAGGATGGGTGGCAGTTGTGTTAGTAAGGCAGGATAATCTACAAATTTGGATTGTGTCCTGAGGCAATCTCCTGAGATACAAAAGACAGAAGTGAGCAGAGAGACAGAGGGACCTCATACCACCAAGAAAGCAGTGCCAGGAGCAGAGCGTGTACTTTGGACCCAGGGTCCCTGTGCGGAGAAGCTCCTAGTCCAGGGGAACATTGATGAGAGGGCCGACGGAGAGAGAAAGACTTCCCCTGGAACTGATGCCCTGAATTTGGACTTTTAGCCTACTTTACTGTGAAAAAATAAATTTCTCTTTGTTAAAGCCATCCACTTGTGGTGTTTCTGTTGTAGCGGCACTAGATGACTAAGACAAGGGGTCAAAGCTGTAAGTTTTAATGTGTCTAATAGTAAAAAGCCTAGATTGCCTTGAAGGAACTGTTGGTGGAATTATGGACAAGAAAGACAATTCTGGTGAGGACTCAGAAGGAAGCAAGGAGAGCTGTAACACCAGAGACTGTGCAGACAAGCAGCAACAGAGAAAAGGAGACTGGCAGCGCGAGATAGTGCTGAAGCCAACTCACGGAGCTAGAGCTGACTGCCTTCAGGAAGGAGGCTTCCTGGAGGAGTGGGGTGCCTCCGGGCACTTACTGCTGAAACTAGGCTTGCCAACCCATGGAGCAAGAGAGCTGAGTGCCTTCCAGCTGATGTTTACTGGCAGAGTGGGGTGCCTCCAGGCACTTATCGGTAAAGCTAAAGAGCTTTGGAACACTTGCCAGAGCAGGGCGGATGCCAGGCCAGCCCAAGGGCCCAAGAGGCCAAGAAGCCAGGAAGCAGAAACTAAAGAGACAAGGAACACAGGAAGCAGGGATGCCTCAGTCTCAAATGGTAGGGCCCCGACCTCTGGGGTGTCAAAGGATGGAGCTATGGCCTCTGGGGCTTCAAAGGCTGGAGCCACGGCCTGCTAGGTTTCAAAGAATCAGATCCTCACCAACTCAGTTCTGGTGTGTGGGGCTGCCATTCACAGTGCCAGCTGGATGGGGCTGGATCCACTACCCAAAGCTGAGGGGGCAGGGCTGCCATGCCCAAGGGGCAGAAGAATGGGACCTGCTGGACTTGAGGGGGTAGAGCTGCCACTCAGATGGACTAGGAGAATGGGGCCGCCCAAAGCCGAGGGACCAGTTGCCATTCCAGTGGGCCTGGAAGGCGGAGCTGAAGCCGAGGCCCAAGGAACCGCCACCCAGAATCCAGGGAGTATGGCCAATACCCAGAGTCTGGAGGGCAGGGCCATTGCCTAAATGGTCTCAGAGAACAGAGAATTATTTTCAAGACTTGAGAGCTAATGTAGTGTGTTTCTGCTGACTTGCTTGGTGCCTGTTACCCCTTCTTTCCCTCCAATTTCTCCCATTCATAATGGAAATGTCTAGCTTGTGCCTATTTCACCATTGTACTTTGGAAGCACGTAACTTCTAGATTTCAGAGATGAAGAGCAATTTTTGGAATTTGGACTTGGAGTTAAGACTTTTGGGATGATATGATGGGGTGAAAGTGTTTTACATGTGGCAAGGACATGAATTTTGGGGGCCAAAGGGTAGAATGTTATAGACTGAATTGTATCCCCCAAAAATGTCTATCAACTTGGCTAGGCCATGATTCCCAGTATTGCGTGGTTATCCACCATTTTGTGATCTGATGTGATTATCCTATGTGTTGTAAATTCTATCTCTATGATGTTAATGAGGCAGGATTAGAGGCAGTTATGTTAACGAGGCAGGACTCCATCTACTGGATCAGGTTGTATCTTGAGTCAATCTTTTTTGAGATATAACAGAGAAGCGAGCAGATGGGGACCTCATACCACCACGAAAGCAGGACAGGGAGCAGAGCACGTCCTTTGGATCTGAAGTTCCTGCGCTGAGACGCTCCCAGACCAAGGGAAGACAGATGCCTCACAAGGACCTTCCTCCAGGGCTGACAGAGAGAAAGCCCTCCCCTGGAGCCGATGCCCTGAATTCAGACTTGTAGCCTACTGGACTGTGAGAGAATAAACTTCTTTGTTAAAGCCATCCACTGTGGTATTTCTGTTGGAGCAGTGCTAGATGACCAAGACACTTCTCAACCTGAGCATCTGTGTAGCACAGCTCAGGGAACCCATGGTCCCAGTTTGCCTGGGACTCAGGGGGTTCCCAGGATGTGGCACTTTCAGTGCTACAACTGGTAAAGGCTTGGTTGGCACACTAGGTTACGGATAACAGGATAAATAGGGCATATCTTCGTGAGGCACCAATTTAACTTATAGATTCTGTAAATTAGGTTTATGCAATTTAACGTTTTTAAAAATACCAGTACTAACAGATCTACTATCCCAGATGCACAACTTGCATGAGTCCCTAAGGTAAAGACACCTCGGAGGGCCAGCTCCCGCTTTTCCTCTGCTGCTGTTTTGGTGGAAATCCGAGCCAAGTCAACCCTCAGCCGTTCTGACGGCACCTCAGGTACCCGCCTCTCCTTACACAAGTGAAGATGCTCCTTGGCTTGGGCTGTAACCACCCCTCCCCTCCTACCATCCAGGGCATCTGGCAAGTCACTCAAGCTCCATAACGTGCTCTGATTTAACCCCTACAGTCTTGTGGTGAGAGGCAAGTGCCAGCATGGATGTGCTCGGTGTCGCCAGTGCCCTTGAGCTTTCACCTTGTGCTCACTTCAGCTGAAGAACGAACAGCCCTGGCACTGTCAGCTCTGGTGCTGTGACAGCAGAGCGTGCTGAGAAATTGTCAGCACCAGCTCACTTCTGTTTCAACACAGGCAAGTGAGTAGACTGTCCACTGTACAAAGGAAAAGTCTTCTATTCAAACACCAAAAAAAAATTGAGACGCCCCAGACAAAAGCCCAGATTTACCTACTCTGAACCACCCTCTCTTGACACGGAAACCAGGAGAGGAAAGTCAGTCTCACGTGAAGCCAGCAGAACCCTTGTGAGGAGCGAGGCCATGCCCCTCGGCAGGGAGACCACGGCCCAGCAGGAGGGCTGCAGGTGGGTAATCACCTCACCTCTCCATGACGAGCTTTTCCATCGAAGTTTCTGAGTGCTCTGAGTGTCACACAGATACTGAATTGTGACGGACGCGTCCCCAGCCTTCAGAGGCAGTGTTTAACAGAAGCCAAGAGACAGAATACCAAACTATATTTACTGTTTACAGTAGTAAAGGACAACAAATAATGTACAAATTGGTGAATAAACACAACGGAGCCAACAAACATCCCACCCGACCCACACAGCAAACTGCAAAGAAAACAAGAACACTGTCAGCAAGATTTCAAACAAGCAGGAGATGACGGGTCATTTGTCACACCACCAGGTGACTACAGAAAGCAGAGAATGGCCGTCAAGCAGCGATAAACCCTCATTGACGAGCAACAGGCAGAACGATGAGACTTTTTAATTGGTATAAATCCCGAAGAGTTCACAGAACTGAAATCACCACACTAATGCAGAAATTCGATACATATTTGGGAAGCAGTGGAGCAAACCTCCGTGAGAATAACAGGAAGTGATCTTTCCATGGGTTTCATCCATCACCACACTTCGGAGTCGCTCTTGTACACGAGAGAACTGCGGATTCCGCGATACTTCGTCTTGCTTTCTTACATAGAGACCATCATTATTCATCAGAAGCAAACACTAGAAGACATCTGAGGCCACAGTACTATTAGCAAATGGGAGCTGCGGTAATTATTTTCTCCTTTACGAGAAAAGGGGAGAAGCCAATTGAGTTTTGCAGTTGTTGCCTGCTGCACTAATCAACAGGTACTGAGCAATGGGGACCCCGGGCCACAGAGCCCCATGGGGACAGACTTGAGGGGCAGGGACCGTGGGGCCAGACTCGTGAAAGACTTCTCTGCCTCCCTCTTAAGAGGCTTCCCAGGATTTCCCCTTCGACTTTACCATCTTCTGCCAGAGTTTAAATTTGCAGTAATTAGCTAAAACTTAATAACCTGCGCCTACAACAAACACCAAGTGAAATTTTGTCTTTCACCCCCACCGGGCCCCCCAAAGCTGTGTCCAGGAATAGCACCCACTGCTGTGCCCATGAGCTATCTACATGATTGGATGAAGCAGTGGGGGGACGGGGGTCACCACACCCGGGGGGCAAGGTCTCTATCTGCACACTGAAAATGGACAGTTAGGTCACAAGGCTTGGAGGAGAAGTGTTACAGCAGGGGGAAAAAACAGACCCAAAAAACCTCGCCACTCATTTTAGCTAAACACAGACGGCGATCTGTATTGGCCCAATCTCAGCTGTGGGTTAATCCCTGCAGAGATAGTGTGAGTTGCACCCCAGGACGTCAAAGAAAGAGGAAAGTGATCTGGTGACGGTCCTCGAGTTTCCGCAGACTCTTCTGTGTTGGCGTGTTCACTACTGGATCTCAAATGCAAGGACAGGTGACGCGGGCGTGGGACGGTCCCCCTAGACGCCGCATCCTGAGAGGCGTCTGGCCGCCCGCGTGCCGCCCGTCTGCTGCTGGAACACGTCGATCGTGTCTTCATCCTCCATCTCCAGCTGTCAGGGTTGTTGCGAGGGGCACAGGGAGAAAGGGAAGGCTCGTTAGTTTCTCCGGTTGGCCTGTTTATCCCAGGGGCAGAAAACGCGCAAGTGAACGCGGGTGTGAGCGGAAAGGCCTGCCTTGCGCGGCAGACGGCGCCGTCTCACGCCTCCGCGCTCTCATCCTTCCTCCCTACGTAACCCGCAGGGAAACGACGTCTACTCTGGATTCACAATAAGCCCTGTTTATTCACCGAGTTTCCCCTAACGAAACTCACGACAGAATCTTCAGACCCTAACTGACAAAGAGAAAAACAGGGCCTCATTAGAAAATACACGGAAATGTCTAAAATCGTTAACTGAAAATTCCACGGAATCGGATTCCACGGCAACGTGACACGGGGCCAGTTACCACCACGCCGCCTGGGACAGTCACAGGGCGGCAGGTCTGCTGTCCGGGGACGGCACTTCCACGGAGCGCCGGGGATCACCCCTGTGAAGCCCGAAGCCACGGAAGCGGCCAGCACAGTAAGGGGTCCACCGCGGGCTCCCCTTTACCCTGCCCTCTCCTGCGAAGACCAGGGCAGAGACGTGCAAGCAAGTCCCACTTGAGTCTCCTTTTCTGACACGGCGGGGAGCAAAACTGCCCACCCTGATCTTGCCCCATTCTCTGAACAAAGGGAACTCCGCTAGCCCACACGGGGATGGACCGAGGCTGACGGCAGCAGTGCTTCCCGGGAATGTCCTCAGGCGTGGGCAGCGGTGCATGGGTGGGCTGCAGAGCCCCTGCCCTTCGCCTCCTGCTCCAGACCCCCGGGCCCCCCACCCCTGCCTCTCTCCACGGAGCTTCCCTACAGCCCCTTACTCTGCACTAGCAGGATTTGATCTCTGTCAGTGGGCAGAAGTCAAGTCTCTTTACATTTAGCCCTTTGGGGTTTTGCAAAAATATTCCCCCAGCTCCATAACGGAGAAGAAAACAGGTAGGAGGCACATTTCACTGACAGAGAGCGGACTCCACGAGACTCAGTGGTCTAACCAGGAGGTCACCCAGCAGGGAGAGGAAGAGCAGCTGTGGAGCCTGAGGCCTCTCCTTCCAGGCGGGAAGCTCCTTTCCCCACACTGTGCTGCACGAGGACAGAACACACCGACCCTTCCCGCGTGTGTGCTGGAGACGGGCTGCTAAGCACATGACGGGTACTGCCGGGTGGCTGCACGCTCCCCTTCCACCCCGGCCCAGGGCACAGACGCTTACAGGGCACAAGAAGCCAGCCAGTAATTTAGCCAAAAACGGACCAAGACTGCGAAGTCATTGTCTAGATGGCAAGCTGGCAGGGGCTTCTGCTCGTTCCTGACCCTGGACGCCACGGCCAGGGGCACACGGGACACCAGCAGGCATGCGCCACTCTCCAACATGAAGGATGACATTGGACGACGTATGCTTACCTCCTCTGAAACACTTAACTTCAAAATTAAATAATCTAATAATAATCAAAAGACTTCTATACGTGCATCAGTCAATTCTCAAACTAGGGTACTCAAATGCAAATCAGAGGTAGCCCTTGAATGTATACAAAGACCGCTCTCATACCTGTGCTGGGGTGTCTGTTTCGTTAATTGGCTGCCCGTCAAACCGGAATCTAATCTGTCTCATGGACAAGCCCTGAAAAGAGAAAGTCATTATCAGCAAACATTTCTGGAGAGCACAGCTTAATTCACAACATACTGACTTATGATCCACTTAGCGATAAATACTGACACGTGGACCTACAATCGGCCACGGGAGGCCCCGACGCAAACAGCTTCAGAAATCACGTCTTCAGCGTCTTCTGGCCACTCACCCCTTTCCTCGATTCTGCCCTGAGCCTCCTCCAGAAGCTGAGCAGAATTTCTACATTGTTGACACCACCATTTCCCCCCTTTAAAAAACTCCCAAAGACCAACAGGTCAGGTGGCAGGGAGGCTCTGATAGGGAGGCCGCACAAATCTGGAAAGCGCCAGTGGGGACCTGGGCCTGGAGAGGGCAGCGAGACAGGTGGATGGCTCCATCCAGAAGGAGCTGCACTGTCCGCTGGCATCCCGGGGAGTGTGACCATTTCATCAAAAGAACATCCCGATCTCACTGCAACAGACAGGGAACTCAAACTCATACCCTGGCTCCAATCTGATCTCTGCTCAGTGACAGTCAAGGACACAGAGGCACAAACAACAGGACAGAGGGAACGAGAGGAGACAGACAGACAAGGTCAGGAGCCTGAAGCCACAGAGCAGTGGACAGGGCAGCCTGAGGGAAGCTGGACCCGGAGGAGACAGGGCGGGGTGGGGGCACCAGGACACGGAGCCCAGGAGGGTCTCCATCTGAGAGGCCGAGATGCAGCACGCAGCTGGTTCTGGACAACTGCTTGGAAGTTCCCATGCAGACCCCCAGCTCGGGGCCCTCCCCAGCCCCAAGAGGACTGGCAACTGTCCCTCCTACGGGACAGAGGCCCATCTTCAGGAGATGTGGACTCAGGTCTGGGCTCAGAGACACCAGGAAACATGGGGCAGAGCCGCCAGCCTCGTCTCCTCATCTCCCTGCAGCTGCGCCCCCCAGGACACGGACAGCTGCTGTACAGCCCAGGCAGGAGCCTCAAGGACCCAGCCCCTGGAACTCAGTGACCCCAGACAGACTCACAGACACCTGGCAGCCCTTCCACACCCACCAATCCCGGCAGCTCACTCCCTGTGTGGCCCACTGACCACTCCCCAGGCACGGAGAGCTTCCTCCAGCAAGCCAAGGCCCCGAGGTTGTTCACGGAAAGGCGTCAACAGGTCAGAGATCAAACCAAAGAAGAAGGAAAGGAATGTGGGGGAAACAGGAAAAAGGAAGGACTCGGTAACCTCCGTGGGGCGGGAAGGAGCAACACTACATCCAGAAATAGGAAGTTGTTACTGGGGGAAAAAGGGATATTCAAAGAACAGCAAAGAACTAAGAACTTCTGGAAACCAAGAATCATGACAGAATTAGGGAGTCCAGGAGGGATGCTGGGAGAAACCAAACCAAAAGGTGGCAGCGACCGGATGTGTCTGACTCCGTGGAAGGGACTCATGTCAGGGCGACGGGGGATGACAGGCTGACGGGGGCCTGGATCACACACACGGCAACCACAGCAACCAAAGACGCACACCAACAGGTAAAGGGTCAGGAGTGCGCGAAGCCCACTACAGGCCGTGTGAGCAGTGTCCCCACACCACGCTGAGAGCGCAGTACTGGTGTGAAGGGAGAGAGAAGCACGGCGTGTGCGGGCCGTGTGCACAGTAGGGCACAGAGAGCTAGATCCTCGTCTCTCACACAGGGAAATAAATAACGTCTGAGCGCAAACGATGACGAGAAGCGTTACGGACTGAATTGATGCTGTTGTTGCCAGGTGCCTTCGAGTTGATTCCAACTCACCGCAACCCCCGTGAGACAGGGCAGACCTGCCCCGTAGGGTTTTCTCGGCTGTGATCTTTACAGAAGGATTACACCTCAGCATAAAGAAAACAAAAATCCTCACAACTCGACCAATAAGCAACATCATGATAAATGGAGAAAAGACTGAAGTGGCAAAGGATTTCATTTTTCTTGGATCCACCATCAACGCCCATGGAAGCAGCAGTCAAGAAATCAAATGACGAACTGCACTGGGCAAATCTGCTGCAGAAGACCTCTCTGAAGTGTTAAAAAGCAAAGACGTCACTTTAAGGACTAAGATACACCTGACCCAAGCCATGGTGTTTTCAGTTGCCTCACACGCATGTGAAAGCTGGACAACGAATCAGGAAGACCAAAGAACTGATGTCTTTGAATTATGGTGTTGGCAAAGAATACTGAATATACCATGGATGGCCAAAAGAATGAACACATCTGTCTTGGAAGAAGTACAGCCAGAATGCTCCGTAGAAGCAAGGATGGCGAGACTTCATCTCATGTACTTCGGACATGTTATCAGGAGGGATCAGTCCCTGGAGAGGGACATCATGACTGGGAAAGCAGAGGGTCAGTGAAAAAGAGGAAGACCCTCAATGAGATGGACTGTCACAGTGGCTGCAACAATGGGCTCAAACATAACAACGATTGTGAGGATGGCGCAGGACCGGGCAGGGTTTCGTTCTGTCGCACACAGGGTCGCTATGAGTCAGTACGGACTCGACGGCACCTAACCACCACAATCTTTACAGAAGCAGATCGCCAGGTCTCTCTCCAGCAGAGCCAATGGGTAGTCCTAACCCCTATGCATCTGGATGTAATCCCATCCGTGAATAGTTTTGTTATGCTAATGAGGGTAGACGGTGTAGGATATGTCTTAAACCAATCACTCTTGAGATATTAAAAGACCAGATCAGGCATAAAAACAAGAAAGCACAGATGGGGAAGAGAGATGCCACATGGAGATCACCAAGGAACCAGGGAAGAGAAGCTAAAAGAAACAAGAATCTTCCCCCAGAGCAGACAGAGAGCCTTCCTCTACAGCTGGCAACCTGAGTTCAGACTTCTAGTCTGAAAAACTGTGAGAAAATAAGTATCTGTTTGTTAAAGCTACCCCCCTGTGGTATTTCTGTTAAAGCAGCACAGACTAAGAACATCAAAGGGTTGATAGTGAACGCTTCTGAGGAGAAAGAGGAGAGCATGTAACCATGACGTTTCTTATAAAACAAAAATCCTAAAGCAAGACTGCTCAGAGCTGAGAGGGCGGCATCAAAGGGCACCTGCCCTTTGACACGGAGCCCTGGTGGCACAGCGGGCCCTTTAACATCCACAAGCACTTAAAGGAAGACCAGCTGAGATGCCGCCTCCCCTCTGAGGAGCAGGGCTCCTTGGGGAAGGGCCTAGGGAGTGCAGGGCTGGGGGAGAAGTACGGAAAGTGAGCTGGACATCATGTCACACAGACAGCAAGGGAGCAGCCCAAGAGCGCTGGAGCCAGAGGACACAGGAGTGGACTGGGAGGGCCCGCACACGAACAGTGAGTCAACCTGAGCGTTAATAAGATAATCCATGAGTTCAGCATGGCACTAAAGGTAATGATCATTAGAAATACGTCTAACCGGTCACTCTGGGGGATGCTCGTGGAATCAGCTCATTACTCTGAGAACTGGTAAATAATGGGAACGAATCGAGTATTTTCCTGCTTTTCCTGAACTGCCACTGAGGGCTTCTCCTTACTGACGTGTTCCAGCTACTCTGTGAAGAGAACTCTAGAGCTGAGCTAGAACTCTCCATTCTGTGACTCCTAATGAACTAACAGATCTAAGCACCTGTCACCAACACCAAAGAGAAACGCCACCAGGCAGAGAAGGCACCGTGCTGGGAAGTGGTCCGGCCAGGGACAGAAACGGAACTCGAGTCTGAACAAGCCTCCAGGTGCAACCACTAGTTTTACAGCACACAGGGGCCGAAAAGGATGTCCAAGGACGCTCCGTGGGGACCCCCAGTGAACAACCGGTGGATGCCGGCTCACCACGCAGGCGGGGCAGCGAGGCCAAGCCCCACCCGGCTGCCTGATGACATCAGTCACCGTCAATCTTTAAAGCAAAAGGCAGCGTCTCCGACAAGGCCCCAGAGGCACGCCAGTGGGCGGGCGGGCGGGCAGGCTGCCTGGCGTATCCAACACCCACCTGTCGCTCACAGTAGGCCTTCATCAGCTTGCTCAGTGGCGTGTGTCTCTTGATTTTGAACTGGACGACAGAGCCGTCCTGCCCGGCCACCTTCAGGTTGATGTGGTCGTTCTCTGTCTTCACTCCCTCCTGAAAGAAACAGGGGCCACGCCTCAGAACCACCTCATCAAAGACCCAGGCTCGAAGAGGCAACTTCTGAGGTAACTGTTGGGCATTTTTCTAAATCGTTAAAACAGACCTAATTCTTAAAATCCTCCACCAGTTCACAGTAGCTCATGTGATTGCTTTATTTTTGCATAGAATTTACTTTTAACTCTCCTAGTTAAATATCCCTACGCGAGAAAGCACGCTAAATGCAACGCAAATCCAGAGTCCTCCTCACAGGGCCTTAGCTCAAAGGAACAATCTGCTGAAGAAATCTAAGCAGGGAGTTAGAGAAAATCCACCTTTGCTTTTAAAATTACTCTTAAATGTAACTAGTAGACACACACATTCACAGAGTACAGAAACTTAGAAGGGAACGGTAAAGTAAAACAAACACAGAACAAATGATTTCATGGTTGGCAGGAACACCCTGGCACAGTGGAGCTGTTTGATGTGATCCAGCCTGTGAAGCTTCCACCATTGTCTTCATGAGGCGCCATCCAGCTGGGCTGGAACCAGCCAGGGCCAAGGGAAACCGTCCTTCGCGCAGCCTCTCCTTTCAAACAGTTTCATCTGAACAGTGATAATCCAAAATATAGTTTATCCTTGCACAATCCATGGAAAACTCAAAGCTACTGGGCAGTAACATGCCCGGGCGTCTGGTTGCCTGGAAACACACCTGAATTGATACAAAAAGCTCCTGCTGAGGGGCAGGGGGCACGCGGGGCCGCTCTGTCTGACCAGAAAGCGAGGTCCCAGGAGTATCCTGGAGGATGGTGGCACTGCAGTTCTCAAAGGACAGGGCCACCTCATTTATCTGGCACCGTTTGGAATAAAGGAGCCCACGAGTCACTTATTGTCTGACAAAAAGGGCGAGGCTGACCCTCGAGAAGGTGACTCAGTGCGGGGCACTGCCCCAGGCCGCTGGAGGCAGCTCAGAATGGCCCACAGAGGGGATGGCCCAGGGAGGGATGACCCAGCAGTGGGCCTGAGGGTGTCCTCTCATAGGGCGGCACTCATGGGGTGGCTCTGCCCTCACCCCAGCCCAGGGTGAGCAGGCCAGCAGCCTCCTCCCACTCACAGGGTGACGGACCGCCACAGCAACTGAACTGGCGAGCTCAGACAAGGCACCAGCTCCCCCTCCCGGGACCTGGACTAACGTGTGCTGGAAGTTGGGCCATGGAAGCAAGGGTCACCCAAGCGGCTGGCCAGAACAGGCCAGGGGTGCCTCTGTGAGCACCCCTCTCCTCCCCAAGGAGTACGGGGATGCTTTTATTCTTTAATGAAAAGACGAAGCTGTGTTCAAGGCAGACAGAAGTAGGGACCAGAAGTAAAAAACAACAGATGAGCAGGGCAGTGGCTCCAACCAGGCAGAGGGCCAGCAGGCAGCCCTCGCTGTGGACACCGGGCAGCTGGCACCCTCCGAAGGCCTCTCCTCTCTAGCGCAGGGAGGAATGTGAGTGAAAAAAAGAAAAACTGAAAAATCCACCACAGTTTCGACAGTCAGCAATCCAGGGGCAGGCAGGAACTTCTCCGCCTGGCCGAGCAGCTTCCTTCCTCACCTTGTCCTTCCTCCTCCCCAGGCCCAGGGAGGCAGCGCTGCTCCGAGACATCCAGGGGCAGCAGGAAGGGGCCGGGGAGGCGGCAACAGCGGAACCATCTTGCAATTACTTAAGAAACAAAAGTGTATTCACCTAGAAACGGCCTCAGAGAACGACCACATGGCAGAGTTAAGTCTAAACATCTCTGAAGAAATAAACATCACACATATTTCACTGAATTTGAATGTCATCGGGAGGAAAGCACCTACAATATCACTAAGAAAGGGCACCTAAATTTGGCCTGGAATAAACAGGTACTCAAACAACCGGGGCCACGAGATGTGTTTGTAGAAAACACTCTTCTGTTGAGGTAGAATCCCGATGTAATAGGAAAACTGCTCAGCGGTTAGTGGACAGAGGATGCTCTCCCGGGCTCTGATGCGCTTCTCCAACTCTGCGTGGAAATGGCTCGTCCACAGAGGCCCTGGTGCCTGGACTTCAGGCATGCTCAGTCCTGTCCCAGCTGCCCCATGCTGTGGCTTCGTCGTCTGTAAATCAGGATGGCCATCCCCAGACCCAGGCTGCGATCAGAGAAAACCCATGTGCAAAGCATTCAGCTAAACAGATCTTCCACTCCGCTAAAAAAAAAAGACCCCAACCGCTTCAGAAATGTTCCTTTTTTATTATGACTAGTTTACGTGGCAAGACCTCCCCCAGGACAAACGACCTCCTGCACCCCGCTGGTGAGGCGCACACCCTGAGCAGCTCTGGTGGATAGTGGGGGCCACACCGTGGCTCACGATGGAGTGGGGGCCGCACACCCTGTGCGCTGTGATGGGGAATGGGGGAAGCGCACGGGGGTTGGGCCTTGAAGGGGAGTGGGGAGCACACACGGGGGCGGGGATGGGGGAAGCCGTGATGAGGAGTCGGGAGTGCACACCGGGAGTTCCGGCCTCTCTCGGGAGTGGCGCGCTCGGGACTCTGGGCGCGCGCCCCAGCGGTGGCTTTGTCCTGAGGGTCTCCAGCCGGGTCCGGGCCGCCCCTTTCCGTAGCGCGCACTGAGCCTGAGCGGAACTGAGACCCGGCCCGGAGGCGACCCCTGGAGAGAGAGGAGGTCCATCGCTGGAGTGAGAGGGCTGAATACCGCGCAGAGACGCCCCGAGACACAACGCCGCGTGCACACGAAGGGGAACAGGGGCTCAGGCGACAGAGGTTCAAGCTGACAGGGGATCCCGGCGGGGAAGAGGTTCCGTGCAAAGGAGACTAGGCGTAGGGGATCCGAGCGGGGGTAGAAGGAGTCTGGTTGAGGAGGGTCTGGCGAGGACGGTCCCAGTTAGGGACGGGCATGGCAGCCAAGGTCCGCAAAGCGCTACGCGTCACCCGGGCCCTCAGGCCCGCGAGTCCTCTGGGAAGCCCCAGTCCTAGGCCCACCCGGGAGGCGGTTTCGGACAGAGTTGAAAAGGCGGGGCGAGGGGCGGAGCTTGGAATGGGGCGAAGCGTCCCGGTCGAGGGACTTGGGGTGGGCGTCCCAGAGGCGGAGCTTAAAGCGGGGCGGAGCGTCCCGAAGGCGGAGCCGGCAGGAGCATTCGGGGGCGGGGCTTGGAGGTGGGCATCCCGGAGGCGGAGCTCGAGACGGGGCGGAGCGTCCCGGAGCCACGGCGAGAGGCGGGGCGCGCCCTGGTCGCCGCCGGGCGGGGGAGGGGAGCGCAC